CTGGGTGCACTCTTCGGACCAATCCGACTCCATGCCCAGTAAGTTCTCAAGTGGCGAGGGATCGGGGCAGAGCTCAGAGGGGCCAGGGCTCCAGGAAATTCAAGAGCATGCAGCCTCTCTGAGCAGACCCGATGGTCCTTCAGGAAGCCAGGGTAGAAAGAACGGGGTGGAGAGGTGAAACGGGCCTGGCGCGGGGTCTCCAGGGCAATGAATGAAGCCTGGATATTTCATGGGACCCCAGGGTCTCTTGGGCCAGGCCTCAGTGCCAGGTCAGAATGATGCATTCAGGGCTAGGGGGCAACCTAGCATTAGTTTCTGGAGTTAGGTAGCCCCCGGTTTAAACTCGGGCTTTGGCACTTTCAAGATGTGTGGCTTTGGGCACAGGATTTTAACCTCAGTGAGCTTGTTTCCTCATCCGAAAAGTGGCAATAATAACTATCATCTTCTTGGGTCTGTGTGAGGATTAACTGAGAAAATGCACATTGATGTAACATATAGATGATGTATTTTAGAATTGTACACTTTAAACCTATGTAATTTTACTAACCATTGTCACCCCAATAAATTTAATTTAGAAACAAATAAAATGCACAGTGACTGCTGGGCACAGCGTGCCCGGCCCTTGGGACCTTACGTTTTCTTTTTCCTCTGCTGCCCCACAGGCACCTACAAGTGCTGGTCTCGGAGCTGATCCCATGGGCAGTTCAGAATGGGCGCAGGGCCCCCTGTGTCCTGAACCTGTACTATGAGCGGCGCTGGGAGCAGCCCCTGAGGTCTCTGCGGGAGGAGCTGGGCATCACAGACCCCCCAACCCCCAGTAACATCTCAGGCCGGGCCTAGGCCCTGAGCTGCTGAGCCAGGAGGGCCGGGCCTGGCTCCCCACCCCCACCTCGACCTCTTCCCCTGGGGGCAGAGGTCTCCTTTGCCACTACCTTTGTTCCTTTTTTTTGAACACTGACCCTTGGACATTATTTATCAGAATTGGTCATAACCACTGCTGAATGGCTTTAAGGGCCAACCCAGGAGGGAACAGGTAGTAGGGCTCCCAGGGGAGCCTGGAGCTGCCCAGAGAGAGCCACTCATGAACAGTCCTCGAGGCTCATACAACCTCTGTTCTGGACCCCTCCCTGCCAGCTAGAGCTTTCTGGGTGCCAGGCTGGGCATCCTCCCAGGAGTGAGGACTAGACCCATTTCCAAGGCTGGAGAAGAGGGAGGCAGAGCGGCAGGGGAGTCTCTGTTGTCTGGATAAAGGCTCCTATCCGGGCACGTGCCTGTGTCCACTGCCTTTCCCCAGTGCAGGCTGACACTGGCGGCCTGGGGCCTTCGAGCCCCGGGAGCAGACATCCCCTCCAGCCTGTGCTTCCGCTGCTTGCCCGTTACTCTGGTCTGAAATTGGGCAGATCCGGATCCGAGCTCCCAACTCCTCTAGTTTTCTAGCAGAGGGACTTAGGGCCAGTCCATTTTCTCTCAACCCATTTCATTGTCAGTCCCAGGGAAATGAAAATAGTACCCACCTCCTATGGTTATTGTGGGGGTTTCATGAGGTGATGCTTAGTAGAAGGGCTTCCGACAAAGGACCCCAAGGAGCAGGAGCAATTGTGTTCGTAGGTGGAGGAGGCAGCTGTGAGACTGTAGCTTCATTTTGGAGTGACAACCAGGCATTCTCCTTGGGTCAGAGCCAAGGAATGGGGAAAGGCAGGTGAAAGGTATTAAAGCGTAGATGGCCCTATCTTTGGATTTAAAATCAGATATACGCCCAGAATGGCAGTTCCCTATTGTGTGCATAGGGCACTAAGGACCAGAGATGGGCAAGGAATTGCCTGGAGTAACTAGAACACAGGCCACAGGCCTCCTGGTTGCTTTTCCTGTACCTCAGTTTTCCTATGGATAATAGCAGCTACCATGTATTTATAGCTGTACTATGTGCCAGGCAGTCACAGGCACTTGGATGCATTATTGCGTTGACACGTCTAACAATTCAAGGAGGAAGATGATACTGTTGTTTTTTACTAATGAGGCAATAGGAACAGCTGGGACTCGAACCAGCAGTTGGTTGTCCGAAGACCTGCGATCACTGCCACGCCAGGGCCTCCGCCTTCCTTGTGCCTACCACATTCCCGTCCAGGGCTCCCAGCGGCAGAGGGAGTGCATGGGAGGCTGGAGGCCAACCTCAAAACCATGGCCTTTTTAAGAGGGAAGCCTTGTCCTGAGCTCTTTGAATTTCTGCAGAAAGAGGAGGGGATTAGGGTGAGCTCCTCATACCTCATCAGTCTTTGCAGTGTAGGCTACCTTTCCCCAGACCTGCCAGCTGTTTCCATGGCTTCCCAGGGTCCCAGGCACCCCCATTCCCCGGTCAGTAAAAGTCAACAGTGCCAAGGTCGGAGGAGAGAGGTCAGGTTCAGGCGGCCTTCGTCCAGCTTTGTAGCTCACTTGCTCTGGCGACTCTTTGCCCGCGTAACCCTGGGCCTTACAGCACTCAAGAGATGGGCACTGGCATCAGGATGAGCTTGGAATGGGAGTCCTGTCTCCTGATCATAGGGTGGCACTTCTGCACCAGCTCACAACTGGAGAAAAACTCTACTGGAGATAGCTACCACTCACTGAGTTCTTACCATAGCCTTTGAGGCCCTGTCAACTTCTGCCTAGAAACTTCCATTCTTCATCTCAATAAACCATGTTGGGGGCCGGCCGAGTGGCGCATTGGTTAAGAGTTGGCATGGGATGCCAGCTCTGAGCAGCAGGGCCCCAGTTCAGATCCCACATATGAGGGCCAGTGACGCTCGCCCTCTACAGCTAAGATGGTGAACAACAGCTCGACCTGGAGCTGGGCTGCCGTGAGTTGCCNCAAGTCTGCTCCTCGCTACTGTAATAAAGCAAAAAGAAATGGGGAATTCATTTGAATAATGTTTTGTTTAACCCAATCTATCTAAAATATGATTTCAACACATAGTGAACATTTTTAAAAGATTGAGATTTCACATTATTGTCCTCATACTAAGACTGTGAAATCCAGTGTGTATTTTTCACATACAGCACATCTCAGTTGGAACTTGTCTCATTTCAAGGCTCAAGGGCCACACGTGGCAAGTGGTGCTGTGCTGGACAGCACCAGCCTAGACGAGAGACATTAACCATCATGATACAATCGTGTTGAGTGTCAAACGAAGGTACAGGAGGCTACAAGAGACCATAACATGGGCAGGAGTGGTCTCCCCTTGGAGGGGACACTTAAGCCAGGTCTGAAAGGATGAGCAGGAAGTAAATCAAGGTGAAGATGAGGATGGTGGGAGAGAGCACCCTAGGCTGCAGCTCATGTTAAGGATCTTTTTTCTTTTATTTTTCTAATTGTGGTAAAAACAACAACAAAAAAAACCCATAAAATTTCCCATGTTAACCATTTTTAAGTGGAGAGTTCAGTGGTATTAAGTATATTCACATTGTCATGAAACCAATCTCTAGAGCTTTTTCATCTTGTAGAACTGAAACCCTCTACCCATTAAACAACTCCCGCTCCCCACTTCCCCCGGGGCTTCTTTGCCATAGATTTCAACAGGTTACATACATTGTGTGTGAGTTGGGGTAGGCTGAGGAGGTGCCAATCCCACCATATTCCCTGCCCTGGGACTCCCCTGTCGGCAGGTACAGACAGAAGCAAAGTCCCCGGGGAGTTTTTTTGCGGGGCAGGGTATGAGTGGTGGGAATGGTTGACAGAGATAAGGACAGGCTGGCAGTTGGGCCTTGGGAATCGTGGGGAAGGGGTCTAAGGGAGACTCACGGTTTTCAGAGGGTCTCCCCAGATACCCGAGCACCCACCAGGTTCGTGGACGATGAGGAGCTGGCATATGTGATCCAGCGGTACCGGGAGGTGCACGACATGCTGCACACCCTCCTGGGGATGCCCACCAACATGCTGGGTGAGTGTCTCCTTGCCAGTTGCCTCAAGAGTGGGGGATGGGTGGGGCAGGGCAGTTCAGCCAGCCTGTCCGCCCAGGTCTGTCTTCAGAGCCAGGGCAGGGCACACCTGTCTCTGCCACCCACCAATTTGCTGGCTCGGTGCCTCATTTTCTGCTTTACCCAAACATCTTGGTGGCATCTGTGCCACACATCTCATCTCCTGCA